TATATATATATATATATATATATATATATATATATATATATATATATATATGGATGACAAATATATATGTCTCTCTCTCTCTATATATATATACACACACATACATTTCATCATATTTCACAAATTTAGCTCTGAGATTTAGTTTCTTGGGATAATACTTCAAAACCATTCATTATTTGTGTCCTTTAGTGCCTTATCCCATCCTAATAGTTTTCCTAATTGGTATCATCTACTTTGACTCCATTTAATCTAAAGGTACCTGGGTACCCAGGAGTTCCATAGCTTTTAAAGGTGACCACTTTCTTTGGTTCCATGTGAAAGCCAGGCACTAAAACTTACGTCCTCCAAGTGGTGCTCACCTTTCAGGCTTCATTATTCATCCTCAAGAGTGTGAACAGTAGCTGAGGAGAGTAAGCACTTTCTGCTTATATTTTTCTTTCAGGACTTTTAAATTAGAAAAGAAAAAGAAAAAAAAAAAACAACCCTCATGGGCCTGTTTAAGTTGTAGGCTGTGTTTAAATGGTAACAATAGCATTAACAATTAGTTAATACAGGACCTGTAGGAGTGGTAAGTTCATAGATCATAGATGCTGAGACCTGGGGCATAGAATTGTATTGAATTTTTTTTTTCTGGCTTGATTTACTTTTAATGTACATAGTTCTTTGACCCCCCTCTCAATTCCAGTTAGTCTTGGATTTTTTTTTTTTTTTTGTCAGTTGTGAGGCCTGAACTCTGGGCCTGGGCACTGTCCCTCAGTTCTTCAGCTCAAGGCTAGCACTTTACCACTAGAGCCACAGTGCCACTTCTGGCATTTTTTTTTTTTTTTCTGCTTATATGTGCTAAGGAATCGAACTCAGGGTCTCATGCATGTGAGGCAAGCACTCTGCCACTGAGCCACCTTTGCAGCCCGAAATTTTTGATACTGATAAGTCTAATAACAATCTCAGTGTATAGAAGAGAAGTTAATGATAGAGGTATGCATGTCTCTAAATTTGAAGCCATTCCTATCTGATGATCTTGTTTGTTTGAACTAGGAAGCACGATCATTTGCTGAGATGGGCATGCAAAAGCAGATGATATACTTTGGAGAAAGGGTTAGGTAAAGAAGGCATAAGATAACTTCTAAAGTAAAATACTCTTGTCATTTGAGAATATTGTTTATCCTAGGCAACTGGATGAGCTTCTAGGCCTTCTTCATGTATCCATAGATTTTTGTATACAGATGTCTCAGACCAGTTCCTTATGATTTTTTTTTTACATAAAATTATGTTCTATACCAAACCAATTAAGAAAACAGATCTTTAGTAATCCTCTTTAGAGACTTGGTAGTGGGTTACCATATAAAAAAGTTTAAAATTTTAATAGTATGTGACATTACATACTAGCCATGTTTCATATATGGATATGGAATTACATATTAGCCATGTTTCACATATGGAAATGGCTGCATCTTTATAGAGTATACAATACTTAATAGCACAGAATAGCAGATATTCATTACTACAGTAAGTTCTGTTGGACAGTATTATTTTATAGAATGTTTGTATGCTTTTTTAATTTTAATTTTAATTTTTTGTGAACATACTGTACAGAGGGGTTACAATTACATGGGCACGATAATGAGTACATTTCTTATCAAGCATTGCAGCCTTAGAATGTTTGTATGCTTTTGATTGTTAGACTTCATCATTAAGGCCAGTTGCTAAATAAAGCGTATGTATGAGAAGTAAAACCAAAGAGACAAGTCTGTATAAAATATAGTTACTAAGGTTTAGTTTATACTTTTCAGTTTCCTTTTTGTACTTTATTATTGTTATTATTTTTAGCAGAAACAGTCCTGCTCCAGCTGTGATGGCAGCATCTGTGACCAACATACAGGCTACTGAAGTTTCTGTGCCACAAGTAAATTCCAGTGAAAGCTCAGGGGGTAAGGAGACTGGTGTGACAGACTTTTGATTTCTTAGAATTAATTGGGTTAGGGCTGGGAATGTAGCTTAGTGGTAGAGTGTTTGCCTACCATGCGTGAAATGCTGGGTTTGATTCCTCAGTACCAGTAAACAGAAAAGGCTGGAAGTGTCACTGTGGCTCAAGTGGTAGAGTGCTAGTCTTGAGCAAATGAAGCTCAGGGACAGTGCCCAGGCCCTGAGTTCAAGCCCTAGGAGTGGCAAAAAAAAGAAGTAATTGGGTTAAACGTAATTTTGAAGAAGAGGGTAAGTATTTGAAATAAAATTTTAAATACTCTTTATTATTTGCATGTAAAGTTATGAAATAAAATTCAGATAAAGGCTTCTAATTTATTTTAATGAGTATATATTTTTGTGTTTATGTGTTTACTGCTTTGTGTATGTGTTTTGTTTTTTGGTTTGAGACTCACAGATACTTATTGTTTAGGTACATCGAATGAAAGCATTCCTCAAACTGCCACACAACCAGCCATTTCTCCACCACCAAAGCCTACGGTCTCCAGAGTTGTTTCCTCAACACGTCTGGTAAACCCACCACCTAGACCTTCAGGAAATGCAGCAACAAAAATATCTAATCCCATAGTAGGATTCAAGAGAACATCCTCACCTCACAAAGAAGAAAGTCCCAAGAAAACCAAAATAGAAGAGGTATGTGGGTGTGGGTGTGCATGTGTGTACATATAAATATATTAGCATGGCAAGACCAACTTGTCTGCTTTTAAATCCAGTGGGAGAAAACCTTCAGCTAGCCCAAAGTGAGGAGGAACAGTAGAAAATACTTAGTGTGTCTGGGAGTCTGGAATGGTCCAGTATCACTTTTTATCTTCCTTTTATTTTCCTTCTGGTTTTTTAGTGATTTATTGGAGTTCAGAGTCTCATGGACTTTATTGCCTGGGCTGGCTTTGAACATAATCCTCATATCTCTCAGCCTCCGGAGTAGCTAGGATTACAGGCTTGAGCCACCAGCACCCGGCTTGTTTTTATGTTTTTTATGTTTTCTTTTTTGTTGAGTTTGGTACTTATACATGCTAATAAGCAAGTACTATTCCAGTGAGCTGCACCCATTTCCTGTGCCAGTGTTTTAAGTATGTGTGCTCTTTTTTGTACATTAAATGTCACCTTAATGTGTTAATATTTAGTGACATCTTTAAATTTTATTTACTCTCTGGCCCCTTTGAACATCTTTTATATTTAAGATGGAATTCTTGTACTGTACTTGGTATTACAGGATAACATGGGTTCTGGGGATCCACCTCAGGGCCTTGAACATGCTAAGTATACAATACTACCACTGAGCTATACTTCTAGTACTTTGGTGCTTTGTGTATATGTTTAATGATTGAACATTAATTTGTGATCTTGAATCAGTAGTTTTCTAACCTTTACTTTTTATAGTAGCTGACTTACATTAACACAATTTGAAATAATTTTAGGAAAACCATTAAAAGCATATATTGATTTTAAAAGACTTATGTTTATATAAGTTTATCTGTTTATATGTGCTGTGGCATCAGAATGGAGGGCATTGGATATGCTAGGCAGGTGATCTCCCATTGAGCAACACCTGAAGTCTTTGGTATGGATCTTAGAAGTTGTTAACAAAGCAAATTCACCTCTCCAGTTGTTACCATATAGTTTATATATTAGCGAGGAACTCACCTTTGCCCCAGAGATGACCTTTCAAAAGTCACTAATTACGATTTTTGGTTGAGAGTCGATTATTTATATTGAAACTTTCCTTTGAATGAGAGACTATAGGTTTGTCCTGGGATCTGCTGTGCTTAGCTCAATAATTGTGAAAAATTAGTGAATTGATTGAGTCTATTTAAATGTTTTGGTTTTATATTAACTTCAGAAATAGCCATAATTAACTGAAATTTATCATGATGGATTTTGACATTTTGTGCTAAATGAGAATGAACAATGCATACAGTATATCTTACAAGATGGGTTACTGTTGGAAGTGACGCTGTGGTTCAAGTGGTGGAGCACTCGCCATGAGCTGAAGAGCTCAGAGACAGTGCCCAGGCCCAGAGTTCAAGCCCCATGACTGACCCCCCCACAAAAAAAAATCTCTTAGAGCAGTGGGTTTTTTTTAGTAGTTTTTTTTTTTTTTTTTGCTGGTCCTGGACTTGAACTCAGGGCCTGGGCACACTTCCTGAGCCTCTTTGTGCTCAGCCAAAGTGCCACTTCCAGCTTTTTCTGAGTAGTTTATTGAAAAGTCTCAGGGACTTTTCTGCTTGGATTGGCTTCAAACCACAGTCCTCAGATCTCAGCCTCCTAAGTAGCTAGGATTATAGGCGTGAGCCAGCCCAGCAGGGCAGTGATTTTTAGCTTCAGTTAAAACTATTTTTTTTCAAGGTTTTTTTTTTTTTTTTCTTTCTTGAGGCAGAGTTGTATTGTGTTTCTTAGACTGGCCTCATACTCAAGATACTCCTGCCTCACCCACAAAGAGCTGTGTTCATTATTTTATTTAACCAGGGAGTAAGATCTGAGAATCTTATTAAGAGCTCCTCTGCCACATAATAGTGTTTTGCAGTAACTTAGATTGTACTAGTTTTGGTGTAAATCGCACATTCTGCCTGTTGATAGTATTTTGAGTTATCAGAACATTTCAGAATTGAGATTTCTTTTTAGTTTTGATTTCAGTATTTGATTTTTTTTTTTTTTTTGAGTCCGGTCATGGGGCCTGAACTCTGGGCCTGGGCGCTGTCCCTCAGCTCTTCAGCTCAAGGCTAGCGCTCTACCACTTGAGCCACAGCGCAACTTCTGGCTTTTTTCTTTTTGCTTATGTGGTGCTGAGGAATCGAACCCAGGGCCTCATGCATGCAAGACAAGTGCTCTACCACTGAGTCACCTTCCCAGCCCCTGTATTTGATTTTCTTACATTTGATTTCTTTACTGTTAGAATGGCACTCCAAGAGCCCTTTATATATATCAGCACAGTGTTTTTAAGCTTGTTTTTGTTTATATAGCTAAAATAGTGTTTCTGTTTCTTGTATGGTTTAGAGACACAATAGGAACACTTTAAACTTAATATGAAAAATTAAAAATACATATGAAAATGAAGAGTCACCGTATGCCTATCACACAGCTGCAGTTATAATGAACTGTCAATCTCTCCTCTTGATTCTGTCAGCTTTCCATTTCCTTTTGTCCTTAGAGTCTTTAGAAGTAAAATGTAGGCACCATTATTCATTAGAACTTAGAAATCATGTATCTGTAAAAGAAAGCGTGAACAAAAAAAAAGCCCACTTTCAAAAAGTAAGTGTTCATCAGTATCATCAGACATTAAGCGACTGTCTCATTGATTATTTTAAAATATTCTCTTGTTAAAACATGCAACTAAAGATGATGGCTGTTAAATTATTTGGTGTCTTTTAAGTATCCTTTTAATAGATGTTTCTTGTTTTTCTTATAATTTTTTTGTTTTATATATTTTCTTATTTGTTTATTATATTTCCTTGGAATTAACACCAACAGAATTTTCAGGTAGAGAAAAGGTCTTAATTTATTTTGTAAGCTATTGCCATTTCCCAACAGAGGAACATGAGGTTCATTGGCTTTTCCAAGTATAGAGCTAACTTTATTCAGAGGAAGAAGTAGACCCAAGATCTAAAATTTTTTAAAAATTTTATTGTCAAGGTGATATACAAAGGGGTTTCAGTTACATAAGTAAGGTAATAAGTACATTTCTTGCCAAACTTGTTACCCCTCCTCATTTTTCTCTTAATTTTCTCTAAATTTAATGGTTGACAATTCAAAGTTTATTTTAGCATGGATACTGTTATTTTAAACCCCTTAAAAGTTGGTCTTTTGCCGGGCGCCGGTGGCTCACGTCTGTAATCCTAGCTACTCAGGAGGCTGAGATCTGAGGATCGCGGTTCAAAGTCAGCCCAGGCAGGAAAGTCTGTGAGGCTCTTATCTCCAGTAAACCACTAGAAAACCGGAAGTGGCGCTGTGGCTCAAGCAATAGAGCAGCTCGCCTTGAGCTGAAGAGCTGAGGGACAGTGGCCAAGCCCAGAGTTCAAGACCAACCAAAAAAAACAAAAAGTTGGTCGTTTTTCTGTTCATTACTACTGATATTAAGTGTCAGCCAGTGTGACAATCCACATCTGTAATTCCAGCACTCCAGATCATGTTATCTGGGATACATGCATCTAGACAGAAGAACATTTCTTTCTTTTTTGTGCTGGTCCTGGGGTGTAGCTGTTCACACAGTGAGACCTGGGAACGCAGTGTCTGGTAGGCAGAAAGTGGACCATACCATGCGGGTATAGACAAAGTTTATTGGAACATCACATGCTTATAGGCAGCAAACAGAAGAAGTAAATCTTCAGTCAGGGGGGCAGAGTTAATCTTAAACCGTTTTATGGGAATACAGACAATGAGAGTTTAAGTCAGTAAGCAGGAATAGCTAATCCATGTCAACAAATGTGGAGCAGTTCCAGTAATCATAGTAAGGAAAGCACAGGTGAGTACACAAAGGTCTGGATGCATTGTTCTATAGGGTTAACTTGGAGGAGCATGAATGACACTTCCCGCAAACCTTCACCTGAGTCTGGTGCTGGGTATCAAACCTTTGCCCTGTCTTGGAAGAAGGGGTATCCCCCTTCTTCAGAGGGAATGCAAGCTAGCATGCACTCTCACAGCACACAGGAGCTCAAATGGGGTCATGCGAGTTGATGCCTCTGACACTGGGGCTTGAACTCACCTGGCCAGGACGCTGTCCCTGAGCATTTGTGCTCAAGGCTAGTGTTCTACCACTTGAGCCACAGTTCCACTTCCAGGCTGGCTTTGAACCACAATTCCCAGATCTTAGCCTCCTGAATAGCTAGGATTATAGGCATGAGATATCAACACCGATCCTAACAGGAGAATTGTAGTTCAGCTTAATGTATGTTCAATCCTAAAAGTAAAAATTATTTGCTGTATCTCATCTAGGCTATATATTTACAACTATTTTTTTCTGCAGGAGATTCAGACACAAAATTACAATGAACTGTCGTGTTTGTATTACTTAGCTTCAGTATTTAACTCAGGGTCAACCTTGTCTCATCTATACACCCTTTCCTCTCTTCTTCATTGTTTTAAACAAATACCAGACTTATTTAAACCATAAATATTTCAGTGTGCATCTACAAAACGTCTTCTTAAAACATTTGGTCCCAGTATATTTATTATACTAATATTAGTAATTCATAGTATTATGTAGCTAGTCAGTATTTTGTTCTACACAGTTGTGATAAGACTTGTAACTTTTTTGGAATACAGAAAATGTCCTTATCAAAATTAGTTTTTACTTCATTAAATCTTTTCTAACTTTATTGTAAGTTGCCTGTAACTTCTGTTCTGTTATTTAAAATGGAATTTTAATTCTATTCAGTAAATAAAGCTGAGAAGTATCGATGTAACTTTTAGTCCCAAAGCAAAAGCGTATCTCAGATCTTGAATTCTTCAGAGTATTAGTGGGTTTTGCTATGAAAGGTGTGTATGTGTGTATTGGGGCGGGGGTGCCCACATGTACGCAGGCATGGGCACACGTTTGTGGTGTCAATTGTTAGCTATGGTTGAGAAAGTTAAATGATACTTGACAGCATTTCTTAAACTGTGTGGATATGTCTCCCATAGGATGATAGTGCCTCAGAGTAGTACCTTTTGGCTAGGGTATTCTTTCCTTTACCTCACACAAAAATATTTATGAACCTTGGTTGTTTGTTATATACATTAGCTGCGGTAACAATTTTTCTCTTGTGTGTGTGTGTGTGTTTTTTAATGTGGTGCTTATTGAAGCCAAGTTAATCTCAAAAAGCTTTTTAAAGGGGGAACCTTTATTACGACTATACTTGATCTTATTTTATGGTTTTGAATATTTTTTCTAATTTAAAGCATTGATTGGCAAATAATCTAAATTTTTCGTTTTAGAGAATAAAGCTTTTTTTTTTAAAAACAGGATGAAACAAGTGAAGATGCTAACTGTCCTGCTTTGAGTGGACATGATAAAACAGAAACAAAGGTATACCAACTTAGCCTTTGGAAATACACAATTAAGAATGCAGAGATGGGATGGAAATGTCTGTAGAATATTGTATTATATTTTGTGTTACACAGTTTAGATTTTTTTCAAATATTGTTTTTAGAGAATTGTATTGCTGTGTAATGTTAATACCTAATGCTGAAGGGAATATAGTAGTCTGGTCCCTATTTTTACTTTCAATTAAGTAGAGAAGATAATATGGTAGAAATAAGTCATGTAGCTAGAAATAAAACTAATTCAAAGTTTAAGGAGCAAAATAGGGTGTGGTATTTTTGATGGTAGAAATGGCAGAAGTCTTTGTGGAAGAAAGTAGCATTTGGTGTTTCTTTGAAGGTTGCATAGGAGTGTGGATAGTGAACAATAAGAAGGTCATCTCTATGTTAGGATTGGAGAACTGTTTTGGCTAGTCCTGGGGTGCATAGAGCTTGAATAAAGTTGATGACTTGGAAGAGATTGATTTTTTCAAACTCTGAAAGACTTTGGAATGTCATATATTTCTAAGTTAAGATATACTTAAAGGCTTTTAGCTTCATTTCTGTATGTTGTAGAAAGAAATATTAGAAAGTTTTGCCTTTCAAATGAAAGAAATTCCCATGATGAATATTTTAACAAGTATTCTTTTGGTATCTGTCTAGATTTTTAAGCGTTCTCTCATTTGTACATACATACCACTGCATTTTACTATCTAATTTTTAATCCACTCGGAAACTCAGAAAATACATTTATGTCTTTATTATAATCTACAAAGTTATTACTAATGGTTGTATAAAAGATTATTACCATATTGAATAAGTCCTCTTATTTTTAATAATTGCTTTCATAAAAATAGTTATATTTGCTGTTAAGAGTGTTGACTGTAGCAAAATATCTGCCATCTACTTATATTTATTTAGAATAAATTAATAGAAGAAGACTTTCCAAGGTGAATAGTATGCTTAATTGTAAAACTAGATGTGCTGCCAGCTTGTTCCCCAGAAAAGGCTGTATTTCCATTCTTCAATCTTGTTTATTCTTCACTTTTATGGGGAGAAAACCGATATTTTGTGTTTTTATGTTTGCTTACATGTTTTTGTAGAAATTCAAGTTTCTGTATGTTTATTTTCATTTGTGCATGCATATGTATGTTTGCCTTTGTGCACTGCATTTTAAAGATTCACAACAGTAGGCCCATATAGTTTACCCTGTCTGTTTTTTTAAAAAATAGAATAAAACCAGCACACTGATTATTAGAGGCCATAAGGAAGGAGAAATTGTCTAGAGATTTTTTTCTACTTTTAATTATGGACAATTTTTATATTTATGAGTAATCGTATTTAATAATATTGAGTGCAGTCACTAATATAGCTCAGATTCCTTTGGAATTTTGTTATTGTTGTCTGGGCAGCAGTGTGTCTATGCATGTCTTTAATATTTGCTTAACATGTTCAAATTAAAGCTAGTTGGAATGATACAGATATTTTGACCATGCATTGCAAAATTTAAGTAAGCAAGTAGAAATTTATGAATATTGGAAATAGGGAAATAACCTGTAAAAAGGCTTTTAATAAGTGCTTTTGTAATATAGTTACATCTCTCTCTCCTGATCCCTCCTGTCTTCCGGTTTGTCGTCTTTATTAGCAACCAAACCCAGTTATTTTACCCTTTTTAAGTCTTTCTTCCCTCCTCCCACCCTCTTTGTCTCACAGGAACAACTTGATACAGAGACAAGTACAACTCAACCAGAAGCTATTCAGACAGCAGCTTCTCTGCTGGCCTCTCAGGTACTACATGCAACAAGCCAGGACAGGAGAGTTTTGTTTATGTTCCTAAGATTAGCATGTTATACAAGCATTCTTTTGTTCTGGTGTTTGAGCTCAGCATGGGCACTGTCCCTGAGCTTCTTTTGCTCAAGGCTAGCACTCTACCACTTGAGCCACAGGGACATTTCCGGCTTTTTCTTTTTATGTGGTACTAAGGAATGGAACCGAGGGATTCATGCATACTAGGCAAGCACTCTGCCACTAAGCTACATTCCTAATTCAAAACAAGCATTCTTATTAGACTATTATGATTATCTGTGAAAATATAGATATAGGTATTTATTGGTATTTATTGTAGATTGAAGAAAGACAGGGCACTAAATTTGATGAAATTGTTCTTTGATGTGTTATCACTAGCTTGGTATGCATTATCTGTAGTCCTAGGTACTCAGGAGGCTGATGTGAACTGATGATTTTCCCAAGGTCAAAACCAGCCCGATCAACACAGACCCCTCAAAAACCAAATATATATATATATAGCTATGATTGATTGCCTTATTTTTTATTTTATTTTTTTTTGGGGTCCGGTAGTGGGGCCTGAACTCTGGGCCTGGGCGCTGTCCCTCAGCTCTTCAGCGCAAGGCTAGCGCTCTACCACTTGAGCCACAACGCCACTTCCGGCTTTTTTCTTTTTGCTTATGTGGTGCTGAGGAATCGAACCCAGGGCCTCATGCATGCAAGGCAAGCGCTCTACCACTGAGCCACCTTCCCAGCCCTATGATTGATACCCTTATATACTGTAAGTCATTTGTATCCTTACCAGTCATATGCCCTTATCTTATGTAGGTATTTTATTGATAGATTGAAGAATAAAATTTAAAGAAAAAGATGAATTTTAGGATTTTTTGTGTACAAGGCTAATACAATCTTTTTGTTTCTATATTTAGTGCAAATTAGTTTAAGTCTGTGCTAGTTCTGCTTATAATGATAGTTTCTTGAATGTAGTAAATATCATTTTACACTGATTTGGAGATAATTATTTTATTATGAAAGAATTGTTTTTTCCCAAATCTTTTCCAGTTGACTGAACCTCAAAGTATACATCAAACTCAAATGAATATTAATACCAAATGAGTTAATCTCTATACAACAACTGAAATACTACTATTGCTGTACTTAGTCCATGATTTTTCTTTGTGGATCAAAGTTGTTACAACGTGTTCATTTAAATGTGCTCTGTTGGATGGTAATGACTTTAAGTCTGTAAATCTGTATAAATACTATACTTATTTATGCTTAGAATGTTTTTTTGTTGGTTTGTTTTTTTTTGGGTCTGGTCATGGGGCCTGAGCTCTGGGCCTGGGCGCTGTCCCTCAGCTCTTCAGCTCAAGGCTAGCGCTCTACTACTTGAGCAACTGCGCCACTTCCTGCTTTTTTCTTTTTGCTTATGTGGTGCTGAGGAATCGAGCCCAGGGCCTCTGGCATGCAAGGCATGCGCTCTACCACTGAGCCACCTTCCCAGCCCCATAGAATGTTTTTTACTTTTATCATCTTTATACAATAAAATATGTAGGAGGTAGACTAACATGAAGAAATGTGCTTCATTTTGATACATGGACAAACGTTTCATATAAACGATCCTTTAAACTGTCTTGGTTTGCTGCATAATGTTTTCTAAGGAGGTATTGGTCATTTTAAGTATTTTAATGAGCAAATCACCCCTCCCCTTTCCCCTTTTTTGCTCTCCCTCTGCCTTTATGCTGCTCCCATGCAGTATTTTGCTGATTAATTGGAAATGGAATTTCATGGCCTTTTCTGCCCCAGAGTAGCTTTAAGCCTGGGTCTTTGACCTCAGCCTCCTGAATAGCGAGGATTATAATAGTGAGCCACTGGCACCCAGTTAGAAGTTTGTTTTGTTTTTAAATAATATAACAAATATGTAAACCCAGTGAGAGAAAAAAATACCTGTTTACAGAATTAATGATTTTTAAAAGCACTTCCATTTTACTATAGTATGGGATATATTTACTTTTGGGAGGCGATGTCTAACAGTGAATCTATTTTGAGGTGAATATTTAGATGAATAGATGGGCTTTGACAGCATCAGAAGCTGCTTCCAGATACACGGGAATCTATTTGGAACTTTTTATAATGTTCTGTAATTCATTTTTGTATTTTCAGATGTTAAATAATCCCTGTGATTTGATCCTAGTTACTGGTGATAAGAAAAGCTTCCCTAAAATGTAGGATAGTTAAGTTGCTTTTTTAATTGTACGGAGTTAATTTTGTATTTTGTGCTGTAAGAAAATAGCACATGTACTGAGATGATAACTGCTGGCTGCTTTTGTGTTTGAGATGAAGTTAAGTTTTCTTCCACACGGGGGTGCTCCAGTACTACTTAATAATACAGCTGTTTGTTACAATCAGTAAATACAATTTAACATTACCTTGATATATATTACAGCTGAGTGTTAGATCAAGAAATGTGTAGGAGAGATATATTTGAAATCTTTAGGAGTTTTCTATAGATTCTAAAAGTATTATTAAAGTATTTGCAGCTGATTGAAAATGTGTCCAAGTATACACATAATTTGATTAGTGATAGTTAATTGCATTCCATCTTGACATTTTTGAATATTTTTCTCTAAAATTTTAATGCTTTGATGTTGATAGGGGCCACAATTTCTTAGCAGGTAAAATACATCTTGCTGTTGAATTGCAGTGCTTTGAACACCAATGTGCTCTTTGCTTTCATTCTCAGAAAACATCCAGTACAGACCTTTCTGATATCCCTGCTCTCCCTGCAAATCCTATTCCTGTTATCAAGAATTCAATAAAACTGAGACTGAATCGGTAAAACAACCTCAGGGGTCCATAAACAGTATCTGCCAGCTCAACCTGTTGTCTTCAATGCTAAACAAGGAGAATGGAAGGTACAAGACTAGACGTGGCTGACAGTGGATTTAGTTTTTTTGGTGACCTACCTTACTGGGCTAATCAGCACTTGATCGGAAGTCCAGGTTAGTATGTGAAGCCAGGAGTACTATTATTATTGTGTTAGCAACAGTTGCATTACTCTTCAAAAAAATTACTGCCTTTAAAAAAGAAAAAAGACACCTCAAGCTATATTTGTATCCATAGTTGACATCTGAATTGGGTATATGTTTGATGCATTGTTTGGAAAATTTGCAATACAAACTGGCATAAGAGTTCCTTATTCTAATGATGCACTTTTATGTATTTTTTATTAGGAAGTAGAACTAATTTTAGATTTTCAGCTTGATGGATTTTAATTTTTTCCCAAAGAATTTCCTTTACAATTAATCTTCAAATTGGACATTACTGTAAGGTAGTGTCCTGTTACACTTCCAAGAAGGGACAGAGTACATCTAATCCAGTCACAATGAGGTAGCTGTAACCCTTCAACTGAAAGGCCAACTTTAGAGGATACGTTTGACATTAAAAGAACAATCTGGAAATACCTGGTTTTGATGGGGTTATGATTCAGAAATGATACTGGTTTTATTTATAGAGTTTTTTTTTATAGTGCATACAAATCAGCGATGAACCAGCAAATATGTTTTTGTTCTCCCCCTTCCCCCGGAAGCAAACACATTTTTTTAGCCTTCCTTCTCTCTATCTCTTTGCTTTTTTTTTTTTTTTCTCGTTTGTTTGTATGCACAAGGTAGGACTTACTTCACAAAAACCAAAATGCCAGTATTTTCTTAAGCCATGATGTGAAACAGATGACCTTGTTGCTACATGGCACAAACACAAAATTGTGATGAATCTTGTAGGATGACTAAAAGTAATGTCCATGAAGCATGGTACATCTTGAATGGCCATTTGAGCTCTAAAGAGGAATTTTGTACACTCCACAGAACTACTATTCCTATCTTATAGAAATTGATTTTCCATTTTAAACATATGGGTAAAAAAAGCATTTTCTCTAAGATTTTTTAAACCAATTTTTATTTTTAACTGGTTTATCAAAATTTGTCAGTAAATTTTACATACAAAAACATGCTAAAAATCATTTCTAACAAGCACTTGACATCTAGTTAGCTCTCTACTCCTTTTTAGTTTGTTTTGTTCTACCAGATTAGTAACTCTTTAAAGAAAATAATTTATCATACAGCAGAATTCTCATCTATCTCTATGAAGTATGAGGGATGCCAGATATTGATAAACCTGGATGAAGCAAATCTATCAGAGTTTTCTGATGAGCATGTTTTGTGAATCCTCCATTGTGCTCCATTCTCTTACATGTGCATTTTTCATGTTCACCTGCAGTTGCTTAATCTCTTCCCCTATCCTTCTAAATTAATTTTCCAAAAGTTGGAGTGTAGTCCTTTCCCCTTAGGCTATGCATTAATTGAGGCTTTCTTTTCACCATGACTTTATAATGTCTAGTATGCGATATTTCTACTTCCCACATCTTTGCTCTGCACAGTCACCTTTCCTTTCCTTTCACCACCTAAGAAAAAAGATGGTCAGCTAACAGGCGAATTGTAAAGGTGTCTGTGTTTGTGTAGCTTCAGAGTTAGATTGACATCGCCAGGCACAGATTTAGTCTTGTCATTTTGTTTACACATTGGGGAGAAAAATTTCAGTTTATTAAGCGTTTCATGTAACTGCATCCAAGTTTTGCCAGGCTGGAAACTTGGACCTTTTCTGTGTAGTGACTTTTTAATTCTAGTTTTCATAACTTGGAGATCAGACTGTTGCTTTCGCATGATGTATGTAGTGTCTCATGACTGAAGTTTGCTTTGTTTTATAGTATCTGTACTCCTTGTATTTTTCAAGAGCTATTTTGTAAACAGATGATGTATTTCTCCATTGAAAACACAATAAAAAAAAACAGCACAATCTTAGAGTTGGTGATTTCTTTTGCTTGTACTCTTCTCTTAAATGTTGTAACACTTGGTTGGTTTCACTTGTCTATTTTTTGTAGTAGGACTGAATGGAGATTCAAAAATACGTTTACTATGGTTACATGTTTCTGGTTAACCCATCAACAGCAAGCTAATTATGTTTGACATAATAACCAAGTCTTTGTTTTTCATATAATTATTCTTTTGGGAGGAAGATGTGAATATAGCTACTAATAAGTCACTTTCAGCTGTCCACCCACTAAGATAGTTACTCAGTGGGCAGACACTGTGTTATCTGTGTTTTTATCCTGTGCAGTGTAGACAGTACCCTGTGTGGTTCCTTTTCAAAATTGTTGGCTTTCAGAATACTTGGCACTTGATCTCTAATGTCAGCAGGTGGCACTGTTGTTTTTCAGCAAATTTAGAATTATAGACCATAGCTAGCCAGGTTCCTGTTTATTATTATACCAAATCCAAACCAGGTTTTGCTCTTAAACTCCAAATGCTTGATATTGTATGGCATGGATTAGGAGTAAGTTGCTTCTATATGTTTTGGTTACCTTGTGGGAGGGAGATAGACCTCTTTAGCATTACTGTTATTACTAATTATTCCAAGGAATATACAGCTGTGCCCATACCCTGTAAATTCCAGATTTTAATGTCTTTTTCAGATATTATTTATGACTATAGTGTGGGATACATTTTTTAGAAAAGTATAATCCAACTTTGGAGTTTATTCAGCAAAAATGAAAGCATTGGGAAAACTACCCAGGACTTTATTATTAACATCTACATAGCTGAGCTTGCCGCACATTTTCTGCCTTGGTAGACAACTGCATATGGGGCTGAGTATCATACTTTGTGTATTTTATTATCCTCACGGCCTTTAGGCATCTTATGCATCTTGCTGAATTAGTAAAATGATCATTGGGAGTCGAGTATTTCATGGCTCTGGGTAAATTCTGGATTATTTTTCTAATTAACACCTTTTCTTTTCTCTACACAGAAAACTGTTTCAAAGTTCTGCATAGTATTCTGGCTGTTGGAGGTGACAATAAATGATCAGCAGCTCCAAGTAGTAATTGGTGTATGAAAGGCCAAATCAAGCCTCAGAAGTACTAGTACACTTAAATGCATTTAAATGTAACGATAGCCAGAGCTGTGGTAGCATGCTCGGGAGACTAAGACAGGAGGATTGGTAGTTCCAGGCCAGCTTGGAACGCAGGCAAAATCCTTTCTCCAAAACTAAAAGATGAACTTTTTCTAAAAAGGCATCAAACAGTTCTTTGGATCTTCTTTTACTTATTTTAGTTCTAATAAAATTGAATCGTACCAGGAAGATTAGTTGCCTTTTCGCCTGAATGTATTTTGCTTGTCTGTGCATGATTTCTTCTTCATTAGGTTTCCTTCAAGCCAAAATTTTAAGTGGTTCATTTTTTGTCTGAGACAAGAAATTGGTGAATGAATTAGACTTGTAGTAGGCATGGCCTTTAGTTCACATGTTGCAAATGGTTAAGACTAGAATACTTGCCAGGTGATGGCAGCTCAAGCCTATAATCCTAGCTACTCAGGAGGCTGAGATTGGAGGATCGCTGTTCATAGCCAGCCCCCGCAGGAAAATCTGTGAGACTCTTGCCCCCAATCAGCCACTCAGAAAACTGGAAGTGGCACTGGCTTAAGTGTAGAGCTCTTGCCTTCAGCTGAAGAGCTGAGGGTTAGATCTCAGGCCTAGAGTTCAAGCCCCACGACCAACCAAAAAATAATAATAATAGTTACTTATGTATTTGTAGAATCAAGTTGTTCATCCTTTTTCTTGTCAGTTTGCTGCAGTTTCTTGCTGTACTATTTATTTTTCAGGATGAGTCGTAGAAAAGTTAGAAAGTTTTTTGAGTACTTTGTGAGATGCAGATACAAGCCAGGGTCTTGAAATATGTAGGGAGAGCACTCTTCTATAAGCTATGCCCCCAGCCCAAGACTGCTTTTTGGTTTTAAGAGAAAACACAGTGTATTTTTCATCTCAAACTATTTTTTGAAGCATCTTGTTGTGTTTTATATAGCTTTAATGGTACCAAGTGAAAAAGTACATAAATATTTCTGACTCATATATTTCAGGAATTACTGAATTTTTATTCTAGAAGTAATTTTTTTTAAATGTCCTTTCTCTTCCTCAGAGACCTGCTTTTGTCTCAATATTCTAGGAACAGCCTAGCAGCTGATCAAACCACACAAGTATGTTTTTGAAAGGAATGGAATTTTAAAGTCTATTTATCCACTCCCAATTCACAAGCTTCCTCTTAGAAGAGTAGAATTAAGACTTTGATCAGCTTTACACTTCAATTGTATTGAAGGTTATAATTGTAATTATTGTCCTTCATTCTCCAGAATTCTCTATGCTACATATAGAAACATTGGTAAAAATCTTATCTACAAAGAGTACAGAGTTGTTTTTGTAGATTAGCCATTTGTTGTTTAAAATGTTAACTTGCACAGTCTTCTTTATGGGAGTTTTTATTTTTTGTTTGCTTTTTGAAACAATTTTACTATGTAACCCTCAAATTACAAGGTCTGTGCCACCACATGTGGCTCAAATTTATTTGTTTACTTATTTATTTATTTTTGCAGTTGCATTGGGGCTTAAACTCAGGGCCTGGGCTCTGTCCCTGAGTGAGCTCTTTTACTCAAGGCTAGTGCTCTACCACTTTGAACCATAGCTCCACTTCTGGTTTTCTGGTAGTTAATTGGAGATAAGACTTTCATGGACTTTCCTGTCCCGGCTGGCTTTGAACTGTGATCCTCAGATCTCAGCCAGCCTCTTGAGTAGCTAGAATTACAGGTGTGAGCCATCAGCACCTGGATAAAAGGTTTATTTTTTAACATGACCTAAAGTGCCATTACTTACTTTCCTTCCGATTTGGGGTGCTTTAATAAGTCACATCAGTAGGATGGGAAATGTATTCAAATAAACTTCCAAACAGTGTACGTGTGTTTCAGTCAAGGCATGTTTCTAGCTTTTGATGTTCCTGACACATAGAATAATGCCCTATTGCCATCAAACTTACTGGTTTTGTTTTGGTTTCGGTCATGGGACTTGAACTCTGGTCCTGGGCCCTGTAACCTCAGTTTTTCAGCTCAAGGCCAGCCCTTTACCTCTTGAGTCACAGCACTACTTCCAGTTTTCTGAGTGGTTTATTGGAGATAAGAGACTACAAACCGGGCTGGCTTTGAACCAAGCATCGATCCTCAGATCTCAGCCTCCTGGGTAGCTAGGATGACAGGCATGAGCCACCAGCGCCCGGCAAACTTACAGTTTTTGATTGTGCTAATCTTTAGTGATGTAAATGGATTTATCCTTAAACTCTCCATGGGTTTCAGAAATGACTGGGGAAAGATGGGATGTTGATGTGATTTTTACTGCAGTGAACAGTGAGTGGAAGCCAGAGAACAGCTTCAACTAGGTAGAGGTGGGCACTACTGTGGCCTTCACAGCAGAGGTCTTCTTCCATGGAGCACAGGCACCTCAGCACATGGCACATCTGTGTTCATGCTCTTGTCAAATAATGATGCCTAAACAGACTAAAGGGAAATAATGAGTAAATCCAGACTTTTATACTGGTAATAGTGCAATTCACATGTATATATGAAGTTTCATGGAAACTACCCTGCCTCCCAATAAGTGAACTCTGCAGCTATTATAGTATATGTCTGGTTATGCTCTGATTTTAGTTTTTGCTGGTCGTGGAGCTTGAACTTGTGGCCTGGGCCTGGTCCCTGAATTCTTTTGCTCAAGGCTGGCACTATACTACTTGGAACCACAGCTCTACTTCCTATGCTGCGATTTTTAAATATGATCCTTCTAAAATACTTCACAAGTCTTTTAGAAGCATTTCTTTTAATTAATTTTTGTAAGATGTTATTTTTTGATCCAACAGATTTCATGCTGAAAATGTAGTTTGAATAATTCAAACATTTCCATTTTGTGGGTTTTTAATGCTTGTAGATGTTTAGTTCAGTCGTGTGTGTGTTTTCTAATAATGTCACTAAAATAGATCAAACTTTTGGGGGGGATTTTGGAGGGGAAGTCTAATACAGTTTTTGCTTAAATATGTGTTCTGGAAGTACAGTAACATTTCTGGGGATGAAAGTGATTCTCTGCTACTGTACTGCCTTCTCTATCTAAGCAGGTATTTAGTTTTCAGATTTGGGGCATAAGAAAGTAGGTATGTATTTTAACATAAGAAGGTAAAATGTCCCAACTTTGTGCTGGTTCCTTGTGGTGCTGTCTCTTGGCACAACACCCTTTTCACAAACTTTCACACTGTGTAGTGCCTGGTGCTATGCGATTTCCAGAAATCTGGCATGTGAATTGGTCCTTGTTTGCGTTTTCTGACTGCAGTGGAGCTGTTAATAAAGAGATTGATGATAAAGTTGTCGGGAAGAGACAGTTGGGCAGAACTGCTCCCTGTGAGTGACAGAGGGCATGATCTGCCTTCACAGCCAAGAAAGCTGCCCCCAGCAGAGAGCCGACCGTGCCTGGACGGCGTGCCAAGACTATTAGAAGCTTCACTCACTATTAGGCTACTGTATCTTCCTTTAATTTAGGCTTTAGATTTTCATTTTTATTATCCGGTTTATAAGATGCTCAGAACAAATATATTTGCAAAAAGGGCACACACTTCCCAACTGTAAAATAATTATTGCTGCAACTTGGAAGTATACAAATTCAACCTAATTTGACTTAGTAAAATTGAATTTTATTTTGAAAACAACAAGGTTTAATAGCCTACATTTTTTGGGGGGGGGAGGGGTCCGGTAGTGGGGCCTGAACTCTGGGCCTGGGTGCTGTCCCTCAGCTCTTCAGCCCAAGGTTAGCGCTCTACCACTTGAGCCACAGTGCCACTTCCAGCTTTTTTCTTTTTGCTTATGTGGTGCTGAGGAATCGAACCCAGGGCCTCATGCATGCAAGGCAAGCACTCTACCACTGAGCCACCTTCCCAGCCCTA